CTGTATGGTCTTCCTCTCCCTGGGCTCCTGCTTCAGCAAAGATGCTTCATCTTGCTTTGCATTCAGCAAAGTGTCAATTGATTGTGTATTTGTACCCTAGATCATGGACCAACAATCTTGGTTCGGCATTATCATTCGCATCATCATGTATTCCAATTTCTTAAAAGAAGTGGGGAAAAAATGAGTGTTTTGAGAAGTGGCTCTGTATAATCAATGGCTGTTTGAATTCTCTTTTTAAAATAAAAATCCCTTATATGAGCCTCTGCAAAAAAAAAAAAGAACCGGACAATAAATGAATGCATGTAGCTAATTTCAGTTTGGGATTTCATTAAAGTTTAAGGTAGATTTGTTTCTGATAGAAGCTATGCTCTGCAAGTTTGGGCTTTTTAAGTTTCCATATTTTTTGTCATAAATGCAATGGATCTTATATTACTATAAACATCAGACAACCTTTGGTGTGTATCCCTCCATCTATCACAAATCATGTAATTTTGTCCTGATGTGGCACTGTGGAATAATGCACGGGACCACAAGGTCAGTTCAAACCAAAAAATCAGAGGTTCAAATTCCCCAGCCACTCCTTGAAAACCCATTACAGGGCTACTAAGAGTCGGAACTGAGTCAATGGCATTTAGCAACAGCTAATAGCAAGTCACACTAGTAAGATGCTCTGGTAGCATACTAGATTCCAAAGTGGACTGCTAAACACAAGGTTCCAACTCAAAACGACCCTGGATAGGGTTTTCTGGGCTGTAAATCTTTACAGAAGCAGAAAGCCTCATCTTTCTCTCATGGAGCAACTGGTAGAATCGAACTGCTAACCTTGTGGTTAACAGCCCAACACATAACTCATTATGCTACCAGAGCTCAATATATTGCTGATGTGGTTGTTCTGCACTGTCAAGTCAGTTCCAACTCAGAGACCCCAAGCACCACAGAACAAAACACCGCCCAGTTGTGTGTCATTCTCACAATTGTTGCTACTCTTGAGCTCATTGCTGCTACCACTGTGCCAATCCGTTTTGTTGGTTATTTTTGATGGTTGTAATACTTATTTTTGATGGTTATAACACTTATTTGAGTGCCTAAATTCTGATGGCGAAAAGGTGTGCCCTTAGGAAATGTGTAATAATGTCTTTAACATATTTATTAGCCAAAAGATCAACAATGACTCTAAAGTGAAGGTGAGAAGGTAATAGAGAGCAGGGAAACTAGAAAATCCAAAACAGAACAACCAGAATCCAAGTAAAGAGCAGGCTGACCCCACTGTCTACTTCTTTTTCACTGACCCTCCATGTTACCAAGCATGATGTCCTTCTCCAGAGAGAATATATATTGGGTATATTTTCCTTCCTGAAAATATATCCAAAGTATGAGAGACAAGGTCTCAACATCCTGGCTTCTAAGGAGCACTCTGGCTATACTTCTTTCAACACACACCTGTTTGTTCTTCTGGCAAGCTATGGTACCTTCAACATCCTTCTTCAACATCACAACTCAATGCATCAATTCTTCTCTGATCTTCCTTGCTTATTGTCCGACTTCTACATGCATATCCGACGACTGAAAATATTACAGCTTGGTTCAGGTGAAACAGTCCTCAACTAACATCTTTGCTCTTGAACACTATAAAGAAGTCTTATGCAGAAGATTTGCCTCATGCAACACATCATTTGATTTTTTTTGACTGCTGATTGCATGAGTGTTGATTGTAAAACCAATCTTTTCTCCATTTATCATGATGTTTATCATTTATCATTTATTCATTAGTTGTGAGGGTTTTTATTTTCTTTACATTGCAGTGCAACCCGTACTGAAGGCTATAGTCTTTGATGTTCATCAGTAATTGTTTTAAGTCCTCTTCATTTTCAGCAAGCAAGGTTGTATCATCTGCATATCACAGATTATCAATGAGTCTTTCTCCAATCCTGATGCTACGTTCTTCTTCATATAATCCAGCTCCTTGGATTATTTGCTCAGCATACAGATATAAGTATAGTGAAAGAATACAACCCTAGTACACACCTTATCCAGTTTTAAACCATTCAGTGTCCCCTTGTTCTGTTCTAGCAAGTACCCTTCTTCTATGTACTGTTCCTCGTGAGTATAATTAAATGTTCTGGAATACCCATTCTCCACAATTTTATCCGTAGCTTGTCATGAGCCACATAGTTGAAAGTCTGCATAGCCAAGAAAGCTCTAGTAAACATCTTTCTGGTAGTGTCTGCTTTCAGAGAAAATCGGTCTGGCATCAACAAGGATCTCCCTAGTTCTACATGTTTTTCTGAACCTGGCTTGAGTTTCTGGCACTTCCCTGTTGATGTAGTTTTGCAGCCCTTTCTGAATTACTTTCAGAAAAATTTTTACTTGCATTTGATATTAATGATATTATTCAACAATTTCCACACTCCATTAGGTTGCCTCTCTTAGGAATGGGCACAAATATGGATTGCTTTCAATTACTTGGTTGGCCAAGTAGCTGACTTCCAAATTTCTTGTCATAGATCACTGGGCCCCTCCAATGCTGCATCCGTTTGTTGAAAGATTTCAGTTTGTATTCTTTCCATTTCTGAAGCCCTGGTTTTTGCTAATGTCTTCAGCGCTCCTTGGACTTTTTCCTTTAGTACCATCAGTTCTTGATCATGCCTCTTGAAATGGTTGAATATTGGACTTTCTATTGTACAGTAGTGTAGTGGTTATGAATCGGGCTGCGAACCTTAAGGCCAGCAGTTCGAAACTACCAGCCGCTCCGCGGGAGGAAGATGAGGCATTCTGCTCCCGTAAAGATTTACAGCCTCGGAAACCCTGTATAAGGTCGCTATGGGTCGGAACCGACTCGATGGCACTTAACAACAACAACAACATTGTACAGTGACTCTGTGACCTTTCATCTTCTTTTGATGCTTTCTGCATCATTTAATTTTTGCCTATAGAATCTCTCAATTGCTACATAAAGTTTGGAAATGTGAAAACTTTTAAATCCTATAATCCCATTTCATTAGCACTACCACCAGTTTAGCTTTTGAAAGCCTCCTCTGTAAGTAATTTCCATCAATCGGTTTTTGTGGCTTATTTTTGATGGTTGTAATACTTATTCAAGTGTAGCGTAGTGGTTACGAATCGGGCTGCGAACCTTAAGGTCAGTGGTTCGAAACTACCAGGCGCTCCGCGGGAGAAAGATGAGGCTTTCTGCTCCCGTAAAGATTTACACCCTCGGAAACCCTGTACAGGGTCGCTATGGGTCGGAACCGACTCGATGGCACTTAACAACAACAAATTATCATGGCGAAAGGGTGTGCTCTTAAGAAATGTGTAATCATGTCTTTAACATATTTATTAGCCAAAAGATCAACAATGACTCTAAAGTGAAGGTGAGAAGCTAATAGAGAGCAGGGAAACTAGAAAACCCAAAACAGAACAACCAGAACCCAAGTGAAAAGCAGGCTGACCCCATTGTGGAAAATGTACCTAATGTCTCTCAACAATCTATAGGAAGACTGTCATCTGGGAACTTAATTTTCTGTTTAAAACTTTAAAAACACAATAAAATCTGTTCTTTAAAATACATATTTTTTAGAATTTTGCCAGCAGGAAAAAATAAATTGGAGCTTTGAAACTATTCTCCTCAAAATGATAAGGGATTCATTGGCATCAGCACTTAATGCTTCAATAAACATCAGGGTACTTACTCTGTACATCACTATTCTAGATGATTTAAAGCATTGCCCATCTTTCAATACCAAAAATAGAAAAATGTTCACAGGCAAGTACCAGGTAAAGGGAACCAAAGTGAAATGCAACAAGAGTTCAGACTGAGAAGAACTTCCGGGTTTAACTACTGAGAGAACGTGAGACCAGTCTTGAAGAGGTGGGGGTGGGGGGTGGAAAGGAGATAGGATTTGCAACTACTGACAAGGAGAAGCCATTTCTGCTCAGAAAGTCGAATCTATGTGAGAGGCAATGGACCAAAGCCAAAGTGAGCTGTTTTCTGTGTCCAACAAAACACCAGATACAAAAGTAGAGGAGCCCTGTTTGGGAATCAGGTTAGAAGGTGTGTTGGGGACTGACCACGGGAGACTAAAAACATTTGAACTTTTATCTCTGACTGTTGTTGGGAGGTGTCATCGAGTCGCTTCCAACTCATAGTGACCCTGTATCAGGTTTCCAACGAGAGGCTGGTGGAGTAGAACTGACAACCTTGAGGATAGCAGTTCAGTGCTTATCCAAAACTTCTATTGTTGTTGTTGTTAAGGGCCATAACAATCCTGCACAGCGTTTCCAAGGGCCAGCTGTTGGGTTTAAACCATGAACCTTGTAGTTCAAGCTGACCTTCCAGTATAGTGCTTATCCTACAGCGCCACACTAGGACTCCATATTGCATACACGAATTGGGCTGCAAACCGCAAGGTCAGCAGTTCGAAACTACCAACTACTCTGTGGGAAAAAGATGCTCCCATAAAGATTTACAGCCTCAGAAACCCTGTTCAGCGTCGCTATGGGTCGGAACCAACTCGACGGCACTTAACAACAACAACAATATGCAATTTTAAAAATCTAGGAGGGCTAGGACTCCTGGTGTGGCGCTGTAGGATAAACACTAGACTGCTAACCTCAAGGTCAACAGTTCAAATCCACCAGCCGCTCCTTGGAAACCCTATGTGAGTCTCCATGAATCAGAGCTGACTCAACAGCACTCAGCAACAAATATGCAATGTAGAGGGAAAAAGGGAGACATGGAATGCTAGGGTAAAAGAAATTCCATTTCTTTGAATATTACATTTGTAAAGGAGTCCTGGTGTGGTGCTACAGCATCAGCACTGGACTGCAAACCACAAGGTCAGCAGTTCAAGTCCACTGGCTGCTTCTGGGGAACACTATACAGGGTCACTATGAGTTAGAAGCAACTCGATTAAACTTAACAATAACAAAGGCATAGCAGCGCTCTTAAAGGAACACGCAGGGGCAAAAATTAAGCAACTTGTTCTTTTTCTTCTTGGTAGACTCATGGAGAAGCGAGAGGTTATTCTGTACTGTGACCTGCACGGTCACAGCAGGAAGGAGAACATCTTCATGTATGGCTGTGACGGCAGCGACAGATCCAAAGCATTATATTTACAGCAACGAATCTTTCCACTTATGCTGAGCAAAAACTGTCCAGCTAAAGTAAGCACCTTTTAAGACTTCAATGATTTTCTTTACTAAGTGCTACCCCTGTGGGACAATGGAATTGATATTAATAATTGAATTAATGAAGCAAATTGCACTTTCATTTAGGTATTTTGAGTACACATTGTTGTTGTT